CTTGCCAGTCACTTGCCTGTTGCCTTCAGGTCCCCGCCCCCCTTCCTGTGCTCTGTCCTGTCTTGCAGGGAACTACACTGCCCACGTTCTCTTGCCAATTGGCTTTTGGTATGTTTGGCCAAGGGAAGTACTGTGGACTGAATGTGTCCTCCCTAAAATTCATATGTTGAAGCTTGATCCCCACTGTGATGGTTTTTGGAGGTGGAGCCTTTGGGAGGTAATTAGGTCATAAGGGTGGATCAGTGCCCTTACGGGAAGATACATGAAAAGGATGATGTCTCTCTGCCATGTGAGGGTACAACGAGAAGGCGGCTATCTACAAGCCATGAAGAGGGTCCTCACCAGACACCGGATCTGCTAGTATTTTGATCTTGGACTTCCCAGCCTCCTGTACTGTGAGAAATACATGCTTGTGTTTAAGTCACACAGTCTATGATATTTCTGTTACAAGAATCTGAGCAGATTAAGACAGGGAGGCACTAGCAGAAGACTCAGGAGGAGGGAAGAAGCCGTGTTTTTCCTCCATTCTCTCTCCTCCTCGGATGTGTCTCCTCCATGGCCTCAGCTTTCACTCGACAACCCTGCCTCCATGGTCCCGGTTCCGCTGGTCAAATCTATTGTGGTCTGGCTCCCAGGCCCTGGCTTTAGGCTCTGGTGACCATACCTTCCTTCACTGTCCCTCCTGCTGCTGTTGCTGATTTTCAGAGGGTTTCTTGGCCGTTCCATCCCTGCATAAACAATTCCCTGTGCTATATTACTTTGGTTAAAATAACTAGACAGGTTTTTATTTTCCTAACCAAATTTGGAGTGATGCAAAGCCCAAATACACTTAACTGATTTGAGATCATCGTATAAGAATACTTGCTTTTGCTGGTCAGTGTAATTCTGAGATCATTCTCTTCATTTATAAAAGGAGAGTTGAAACACTAGTCCTAGTCTTGATAAAACCCCTTACGGACTTGACATCCGTTGTGTGGTTGATTAAGGAGACTTTTCCCTCCCTTCTCATCAGTGTTTGTTTTCTAAAACAGACAAGTGAACAAATTAAAGAGGATTTGACTGAGAAGCTCAATATGAGGACTGTTTTGGATATGGCATTTTTGGGGCAAAGTAAAGGTGTATGGTTTGTGAAAAGGAGGAATCATTTATTTGACAGCTACAACTGTATTACTTTTGTCACCTTAGAAAGGGTGGTACATAAGTGTTCAATAAATATTTTGGAATTAATGCCCAGCTAGAGGTACAGGGTACCTGGGAGTTTAGGGGAGGCAGAGAATAATTCTTAGGGAGAATAAACAAAGCTTTTTGCTTAGCCTTCCACCTTACCCCATGGCAATCTGTCAGTTCTCCAGAGTAGCACTTTCTCTGCTTCCCATTGGCTGATTAGATTCTACTGGCTAATTAGGTCCAGAGGGAAGAGGCCAGTCCATGCCTTGAAACTAACTCCTTCCTTTTGGTTAGATGATAGTGATGAGTATAATATAGTAATTATGATAGATAATACCCAACATGAAGAGTGGTTGACTTGGTATCCTTAGATTGCTTTGGGTGGTGACTGATGACATCAGGGTGTTTGTTAACTTTAGGACTGCTGTAAGGATTAAATGAGACATGCTTGTAAAGGCACAGCATAGTGTATGGCATATAATAAATGTGCAGTATTGCTGGCTATTTTTGTATTTATCATTGTCATCATCTGGTGTTTATTGAGCATGTACTTTGTGTTAAGCATTTGACACGTATGATCTGATTTAATCCTCACAAAACCTCTGAAGTGGGAATTGTGATAATCCTCATTTCACAGATGAGAGAACTGGGGCTCAAGGAGGGAAGTGGCTTGTTCAGGTCCATAAAACTGCTAAGAGGTGGAGCCAAGACTTGAACCCGGTTAGTTTGATCCTAACTTATTTTCTTAATTCTATTATTATCGAGATTCCCATATTACTGACAAATCCTTGAAAATACATTTGAAAAAGCAACATAAAATAAGACAGCATTGGGAACCTGTTAGCTCAAATTTAGCATGATGATTAAAACCAAAAAACACTCTGGACTGGTTCCCTCAGTCAACAGTGTTCCCTGAGGGCTCATTGTGCAAAAAGCTCTCTATATAGGGAACTGTGGTTAGAGGACAAAGAAATAAGGCACATGATCTCTGTGAAAGCAACAGAACCAATCTTACAAGATAGTCGACATGCACGTTAACCCAGTGTAGGCTGAATATACGTGAGCTTGGCGGAGAAGATAGAGGAACCTTTCATAGGTGGTTCTTGTATGTTTACCTGGTTCAGGAGACAGGGTTTAGTATCTAAGATGCCTGGATTCAACCCCATCATTGCCTCTTTCTGCAGTATGGCCTGGAAGACATTCCTCTACCTCTTTGAGCCTCAGTGTTTTCATGTATAAGAAGGGAGATAAGGATGATGACATCACAAAAATACTGTAAAGGGCCTAGCATCATTTCCAATAAAATATAACATCAGTGTACTTAATCCCAAAGAAACACATACAAATAGCCCTTAAGCTTTTATGGGCCCGGCACTCTTCTGCTATGTGGAAGCCCTTAAGCTTTTAGATTGGGCACTTGTCAATTTCCTACTAGGATTTCCTCCTCCTCCCCCAATTTCCTCATGACTTTTTGGTTATCTGGCAAATGCACAAAAGGAAACCACATGTAGCTGCCACCATGAAATACTCAGAAAGTCACCTTTGAGGAAGACCAACACTTCTAAGAAAAAGCAAAGACACAAAAAGAAAGCTCTGTGATTGGCCAGTTGCCCATCCTGAAGTCCTAAAGGCGTTCTGTGATTTGGTGAACTGAATAAATTGCTGTGAAATCAAGGTCCCTGAAATGCCTCCACATGGTGAAGTTGGTGAGAACAGAGGAAAGAGAACAGCTGCAGTGGGTGAAGGATGGGTGAGGGTGTGAGTGGAGAGTTCCCTGGGCCCAGACAGTCCTGTAGGCAGGTTGAGGATGGAGCACCCAGGACGTAGTTCTCCTGTGTATGGGGCCAGATGAGCATCTACCAGCCAGTCTCCAAATGCCTGGAGTGACTCCCAGCAGTCCCGTCCCAGCAACTTCCTGTCTCCTGTCTTTCTACCATTGACCAAACTTTGGGTCAGAATGCTCTTCAGAAGAGAATTTCTAAGACACCCAATCCATTGAACATGCAAAATCTAAGTCCTTTTATGGCTTATTAAAACTCGTTAAACTAAATTTTTAAATGGTTAGTGCATTTTATTCTAGAAAGCCTTTTTTCTCAATCCTGTAAAACAGTATGGCTGCTTTGGCAAGACAGTCATGTGATGAAAGGGGAAACATGGTGTGATGAAATGACATTTTATGAGTTATAAGAGGGGCCAATGTGAGAGACAAAGAGGAAGGAAGGAGAAGGTGGCAATATCAGAGTTACCTAAAAGGCCAGGTTCTGAGGTTACACAGGCCATTTTTAGAGTTGGGTAAGCTTGGGATTCTGCTAAAAATGAAACGGTATGGAGAATTTTAAAAAGTAAGTCATAGGTCAAATGGGAAAAGCATCCCAGTTGGAGTTTGGAGGGCACTGAGTGCTGTCCTTGTCACCAGCTATGTGACCTATGACTTCTTTAAGCTTTAGTTTCCTCCTTGGAGTAATGGCACTAATACAATCCTATAGGTTGTTTTGTCAGCTGTTAAAATACTTCAGAAATATTTGGGTAGTTACCTGTATGTATATTTATGCTCTGATGGTATTATTACATTGAAATTTTATTCCATATCTTTAAGCAAGTGATCCTACTCTCAAATTCTGGCATATCTAAATGAATATATTTATAGAGGGGAAAATCCCTTGCTTCAGTGGCAAAAATACTGATTTGAGGGTTAGAGAACTCAAGTTTTATTTCTCTTATTTCCAGTTCAATTTAGAGAGCTATAATCGGGTTTTTAAAAAGAGGCAAATCATCCGCTGGAAGAAAGGGATGCTGGGAGCAGCATATGTACATTGAATTATATTTTTGTTGCATCTCAGATGTTGGGATCCTATTGCATGGCATTTTACATGACTTCTGCTTGTTAATTGTTGCAGTGTAGATGCGCCCCTCATTTTGGGAGTGAGGTTGATAGACACTGCAAATGTTGAGGTCTCTTCCTGCACTGCCCCTGAACATATGCTTCCACTGGGGCGGGGGCCGTGGTGCCAGCGGCAGCCTGCACCTTTGAAGGGGGAGCTGAGGTTGCACTTAATGCTCATGCAGCGGTGCCTGGTGATGGTGCTCTATCCGGGAATGGAGTGCTGCTGGAAAGATTTCATGAAACCCCCTTTGTCCAACCAGGAGCCTTAGAAATGTGCAGAGATGGTCCATGACTCAAGCTTCTGGGTCCTGATCACCTGAGGGAATCGGCCGTACAAGCCTTTCACCAGAACTGTGTCCAGGGGAAGCTCAGGTTGTCTCCTGAGATGGTCATTGCTTGGTCTCTGTCTCTGTCTCTCTCCCCCTCAGCCCCGCTTGTCATCTTTATCTGTTTCTCCATTTCTGTCTTTCTCTTCCTCTCATTCTTGTCTTTGTTTTGCCACTCGCTAGGTTTGTTCTCTTCCTTTCACTTCATTTTTCCTTCTGTCCTTTCTGCACCCCTCCCCCGCCCCACCCTCATCCTCATTATCTTCTGTTCTTACTTTTTGGGGCTGAAGGATCTGCCCGATGAGGTTTGCTGACCCTCCCCTCTGGTTACTCTTCTTGGTTTTCCTGGCTCTTCTCTGTCCGGAATCCTCCCACCCGAGGTGGGCAAACGTATTCCTCTCAGGGAGCAACGAGTGTGGATCTTAACGGCTGCTCTGTTGAGATTAGTGTATCTGACGGTGGAAAGGCACTTACTGGGCAGCTGAAGATGTTTAAGCGATTAGCTTCTTCCACAAACCCAGACAGTGAGCATCTTTCACCAGGGAGATCTGCTAAGTGTTTATCTCAGCCGTGCACATGTTCTTCCTCTTTGGTGATGAAAGTTATTGTCTTTCTGATTACAGATTGAGGAAACTCGGCTCAACATTGACAAGATCTCAGAGCATGTGGAGGAGGCGAAGAAACTCTACAGTATCATTCTCTCTGCACCGATTCCAGAGCCCAGTGAGTGTCTACTCAGAGCAGTGACCCTCTGCATTGGGGCAGAGCCAGCCTTGTTTTCCTCGCCTCTGTGAGCAGCAGGGCGTGTGCTCATTACGTCCCACTAATGTGCACGTCGTGTCATTTCCCCGTCTCCTTTACCTTAGCTGAGTTCCCACTGCCCGGCCACAGTCAGCTTTTCTTTTTATGATCCCACTCGCGCTATTTAGCCAGACTTTCCTCTGCTGCTCAGCTCGTCGCTCTCCTGACCGGCAGTGACTCTTCTCATGTGCCCCTGCTCTGTCCCACTCTGCGCCTCTGCTTGTACCACTTCCCCAGCCTGCACGCTTTTCCCAGCCCCTTTTCTAAATCCTACCAGATCAAGCCCACTTTTTCCCCATGAGATGTTCTGAAATGGCTTAGGTTCACAGAAATCCCTCCATCCCTAAACTCCTGTTTGTTACCATGGCAGAGGCAGACTTTTTCCCGTAATTGTTTTGCATTGTTAGAGTTTAGGGCTATATTTTTAGTTCCTTAGAGCAGGGAACAAGCCTGATATTGTCATTCCACCCTTTCCTCTTTTCCATGGCTCTCTAGTACCTAAATTTAAAGTGGGAACATGTCACAGAGCACATGAGAATGTCTTGGTCACAGTCCTGCCTTCCCAGCCACCACCATCCTCCTCATGCTGCCCACATTTTAGCCAGATCATCTCTGGCTGTTCCCAGACCCTTCTTGTTCCCTCGTTCCTTTTATATATTGTTTCTTCTCCCTGAGAGTCTTGCTCTAAGTCTTCATGTCTACCTGGTTAATGCTTAGTCTTTCTTTGAGACTGACTCATACTATCTCTGTCATTAGAAGCTTTTCCAGACTCTTCCAGGCTGTATGAGGGGGCCCTGCATAGCCACCCTGTGCACACCTTCGCCAGAACTCAAACTGTACCCCACACTGCTGCATATCAGGACTGCTGATTTATTTCTCCCTTGTTCCTTACTAGACTCTGAAACCTTGAAGGCAGAATCTGTATCTTCTCTCTGATTCCTTAGTTTCTAGCTCAGTTCCAAGCTTGTGGTGGGGGCTAGAGGATGGTTTTTGAATGAATGGTTGTAGCTAACACTTAGTTTGCTCCATGCAACCCAGGGCAGCTTTGGGCATGTAGTAGGTATGTCATAAATATTTGCTTCATTCCCTGCTGAGCTCTGGTTAAAATCCTTTTGCCCCAGAAGTCCCATAGAATCCTCTTCTACCTTCTGAGTTGAGGTCCTCATGGTAAACCAGGTTGTCCCCTCTAAGAGCAGGTTCTTAAAATTTTGTGTGCTAGAGAATCACTTGAAAAGGCTCGTTAAAACAGGCTGATTCTGGGGCCCCAACCCTGGGTGTTTTTATTCTGTGTGTCTGGGATGGGGTGCCTGGAAAATGCCTTTTAAAAAATAAGCGCTCTGTGATGTTAATGACAGGTTCACATGGCAGAGTGCATTGGGATAAATACCGCTCTGGGCAGTGGGGGCCCGAGAAAGCTCCCCACCTCCTCTTTTGGTTGTTGTGGCTCACACAGCAGTTAGTCCTCTCCTTTCTAACTGATTCTGCCTGCCTCTGTTACCCAGAAACCAAGGATGACCTGGAGCAGCTCACAACCGAGATCAAGAAAAGGGCCAATAACGTCCGGAACAAACTGAAGAGTAAGGAGGGAACAAAGGGAACAAACCAGTCCCTGCCACCGCCTGTCTCAGCTCCTGGGGTCCAGCTCTTCCAAACTGAAACTCCTCTTGATGAAGTGACACCACTTGTTTCATCTTTGCTTGTGGTTTGGGCACTGTCCCAACAAGCACCTATAGCCCCAGAAGTTTATCTTTCCTTGAATCCTGACTGTAGTTGGAAGAGTCCAGAAGTGAAGTTAGGAGATGAGAATTAGAATGTGATTTCAGCTACTGCTTTGGGCTGCTGAATAGTTGTGTGACTTGGTCCTTTAACTTAGTTCCTTAGCCAACTTTTATTGGTTCCGTTCTCCCAGCACTACATACATTTGAATAGTAATTTCAGAGATACATAGATGCAAGATACATCATTCACTCTACAGACATTGCCTGGTGGGCTAGGTGTGTCACCCTCCCATAGCCTCCTGCCCCCACTTTAGAGAGCATAGTTCAATGAAACTACTGTCGTAGATCCAATTCTCCTGGGGCCCAGCAGGTTTTCTGAGTTCCAAGGCTATGGTCTGCATTCTTGCCAGTGTGTTTGGTGAATGCATGCTGTTGGTCAGAGGAGAAAGCAGTATTGCTTGGCCCAATTTATCATTTCTTCCCTCAAAACAAATTGCAATAATTATTTTAACCGGAGTGGAGGGAGGGGTCGTTAGTAGCATCTTCCAGTACTAACAGTGGTGGTGTGCCTGCCACTGAGCCAAGCACTCTCTGCAGCTTCTCACTGAATCTGTACCTTAGCATTGTGAGGGAGGTACCATTATTTATTCTGTCTTACAGATGAGAAAACAGGAACATTGAGAGAGATTAAGTGGCTTTTCCAAAGTCGTACCTAGTAAGTGCCAGGGCAAGGATTTTGGCCTAAGTCTCTTGGTGACAGAGACCCATGCCATTCATTGTTATGCCAAGACCTGGCGATCGTAAAGGCTGAGGAGTGCACGTCCGGCAGCTCACCTGCAAGGTGACCTTTTGAGATTGCACCTACCTGCTGTTACATCTCCGTGGGCTGGGGCTGTGAGACTGAGTGAGCAGGTTTGCCTTGAACAGCGTGTTTCTCGGAAGGAACAGCAGGTGTGTTGCTAGTGGAACCTTCCTCTCCTCTTCAGGCATGGAGAAGCATATTGAAGAAGACGAGGTCCGGTCGTCAGCAGACCTTCGGATTCGGAAATCCCAGGTCAGGTTTTTCCTGGTCTAATGATCATCTAGTCCCATCTTAATTTTTTTTCTCCTTAGCTGTGGAGTCATTTTTTTTTTTAAAAAAAATACAATTCTTATTTAGAAATCATTTGAAGAACTGGTCAAGGGGAACTATCCAAGTTGAAGCAGGGCCCAGGGCCAGAGTCCAGCCCTTTTGGCCCCTCTCTCACACTCTTCCTTGCCAAGGAGGCCCCTGGAGAACTTCTTAAGGCTTCCCATAGCACAGCCTAAGAGGCAGTGTGCCTCCTTGTTTTACAGGAGAGGAAATTGAGGTCTTCTCTTTAAAGGTTGTTAGTCATTAGTTGTCCGGTTTGGAGCTAGGCATTTTAGGGGTCTTCAGAGATAGGGTCCTTGTCCTTAAAGAACTGGCATGACATTCAAGTGGCCTAGGAAACTATTACATAAGACCCAGCAGGAGGACAGGGTAAAAAGACATGGTCCAGCACAGGTGCTGTCAGCATTAAAAGATCTCAGGAAGAGCTGAGGATAGGCAGAGGAGGCTGGGCCAGCGTACGGCAAACATGGGCAGGCTCAGGAAGTAGTTTGCCCTCCCTGACAGGCACTGGGGTAGGAGTGGGCTGTGTGTGCACGGCGTCTGTGTGCCCGCATGTGTGCTGGCAGCAGCCATGGTGGTGATGGTGGTGGTGTGGGTGGGAGTGAGGGGCAGACAGGAAGAGAACAGCCTTTCTGGAGAGAAAAGTTTGCTGTGGGATAGCGAACACAGAATTTTTGGTCGATAATGTCATGCCACATTCTAGAGATCTTCGAGTACCAGTCTGGGAATTTGGATCGGATCCTGTAGCCCATAGGCATTTGTTTTGGGCTGCAGTATATTAGGAGGGTATTATGGCAGTTGTTTGAAAGCTGGAGACAGTGGGAAAGAGGCTGGAGGCTGGTAGTTAGGTTTTTGCACTGATTTCGGTCTAAATTTGCATGGTGGTAGTGGGTTTTGAAGAAGTATAAATATTGGTGATTTTGCGAAGGAGAAAATATTAGGGCTTGAAGCTGAGAGGTGGGCAAAGAATAAAAATTATTATGGAGGGCGTTTAGGCATCTAGGGCTGTTGAGAGAATGCGTTTAGTTATAAGCAGAAAGAGCTGGGGAGATGAGCTAGGGCAGAAACTCAAGTATCTTTGGCAAGTATTACACTTGGGAAGGGAGTCTGGCAGCTTTAGAAAGCAAGCCCAGAGTTGTGCCAGAAAAATGCTTCTAGTCCGTGTGGCTGCAGGGCTCAGAGATTCACAGAGATGATCTCCTTTAGCCTCACAATTACCAGGTGAGGTCAGCAGGGCAGGTAAACAGATACCGAAGCCATGCCTTGGAAAGGGCAGCAGACTCTCCCAGTGGTGCAAACCTAGGAAACCAGAAAGTTGGGTCTGATACCTGGTCTTTTGACTTAGCCCAGTGCTGCTGTAGACAGCTGTGTGGGGGCAGGACCGGGTTCTGTAACCATTAGGGACCTTCCCCCTCCCTCGCCACCTGTGGGCTTACTGCGTTTTACATTGTCCCCACAGCACTCCGTCCTCTCCCGGAAGTTTGTGGAGGTGATGACCAAATACAATGAAGCTCAGGTGGACTTCCGCGAACGCAGCAAAGGGCGAATCCAGCGGCAGCTCGAAATTAGTATGTGTTTGAGGTTTGGCGCGTCCCCTCCTCCTTTTCCTGCCCTGTGCTTGTCCATCCCAAGTTGTGAGGCCCAAGGAGAATGAGCAGCAACTCTGCTTGTGGCTTCCGTGTCATATTTTGTGCCCAAGCCTAGGACACGCGTCACAGCACCGGCACATCCTGAATGCTGCATCTTAGGCTGAAGAGTGACACAGTGTGTATCAGGCCCAAGTAATTTTTTTCTATGGGATCCAGCATTTCCGCATACGTAGAGGGGAAGCAGTTGATAACCAGTTGCTCTCCTGGGCACTCGTTGCATCTTTTTGGCGTCTGTTTGACAGCAAGGCGCATTTATGAAATAAAAGTTGTGCTAGTTGCTGTGAGGAATGTAGAAACTGACGAAGCCATGACCTTTAGGAAGTTAGTAACGTGGAAGGCCAGGCCCTGCGAGGTGGGATGTGCTTCAGGTGGGAGGAACTGTGTGAACGAGGATGTAGTCAAGAAAGAACAAGTGTGTTGAGGAGTGGCAGGTTATCCAGGCCTGGGAAGGGGCACGTTTGGAGTAGTGTAAGGTTAAGATGGATTGAGGGAGGGCTCGCCCACAAACTGGCACACCGTTAGGAGGGGCTTGGACTCCATGCCATAGTGAATGGGGCTAGTAATACTCTGAGCTGGGAAGTAACACAATCAGATAGGTGCTCAGGGGAGAAACAAGAAGGAAGACAAGTCTGGAGGCAATTGGGGAAGTGTTGTAAAGGCCACAGTCTTTATAGTGAAGTCACCATATTCTTAATTTTCAGAGAAGTTTTCAAGTACTGTGTTGCGCTTTGATCTTGTATTTGATGCTCTACTTCTTTTGTTATAAAGCCGGCAAAAAGACAACGGATGAGGAGCTGGAGGAGATGTTAGAGAGCGGCAACCCTGCCATCTTCACCTCTGGGGTGAGTGCCTTGGTGCTGGGACGGCGCACCCCTCTCGTGAGCAGGGAGGCCCTTGCGCAGCTTCGCAGGGTCTAGCAGGTGGAGGGTGAGCTGCAGGTGCAGGGAGGTAGGGGAGGCCAGGAGCTCGCCAGGAGTGTGCATGAGGGCTGCGGCAGGGGCAGCCTTTCTTGCACAGTGGCTGATGGTCTGTCCGTGTGTGGCCTGTTGTAGATCATTGACTCCCAGATTTCCAAGCAAGCCCTTAGTGAGATCGAGGGACGGCACAAGGACATTGTAAGGCTGGAGAGCAGCATCAAGGAGCTTCATGACATGTTTATGGACATCGCCATGCTGGTGGAGAATCAGGTAACTGGCAGGGAGTCCCAGTGTGGGGAGGGCGGAGATGAAAGCTCAGTTTCTCCTGAGAGCAGGGAGGATGGGAATGCGGGAAGCCAGGTAAGGTGGGTGGGAGAACCAATGGGAATTTGCACAAGGAGTAACAGGATTCCAGCATCCCAGGGAGAAAAGGTGCACATTTTTATCGAATGCTGACACTTTGGGCAGTCTCAGCCTTGTCATTCTTGCCTGTTCTTTGGCCTCGCAGTTGTTGCTACTTCATACAGGTCCAATGTGCTCTGTCAAGTGCCTAGTTCTCCAGCCTCAGGATCTTTTTCCATCCTTTTTTTTTCTTTATTAGAAACGTGGGTTCTTAATGATGATGCATTAAAACATTCTCCTGATGTGGACTATTTCCCTGATGTCATTGAAAACATACGATTTTTTTCTCCAGTTCACAGTGAAAACTTAGGTTTTTAACAGTTTTTTTTCCATGTTTGTTTTTTCTCCTGTATGTATTCAAAAAGCAATTGGCACTTTTTGCTAAGGAACAGAGCAGACATTATTAATGAAAGAATAGTAAAATACTGTTTACAGAAAGACTTGAAACACTGCTGGTGCTTGGTTTGACAGCTCTCTTTGTCCAAGGCATGCTTCCTCAGGGGTGGAGTTCTCTGTCGCCTGCCTAGGGTGTTAGTTTCACACAGTCGTGTGGTTCCCAGTTCTTATGATGCAGTTAAATGTGCCACAGTGTCATAGTGCTGTGCTCTCATCCCATGAACTTCCAGCTGCTCTGCCAATTGGACAGGATTGAAAACTGCTCCCATAGTAGAGTGTAGGACCTAGTTGAAGCCTGAGCACAGCATGACTGGCTTTTGACATCGGTTGCCTGCTCAGGGCCCGGTGCCTTACCCCCAACCCCCTCTGGCCTCTGAGACCATTTTTCAAGTCCCTCCATCCCCACTCTTCTCTTTTCCCCCCACACTGCCTTGCCGAGGAACTGGTTTGAGATTCAAGTGGTGGTAAGTGCCTGTTTACAGACTGGCATAAAGTGATGGGTTTGGGTTGAGGAAGGTCTGGGTAGGGGAAGAGAATCCCATTCTAAGATGCTACGATGAATTGGGATGACCAGACTTCCTTGTCAAGAAGTAATAGCTGGGAAATGGTTGGGAATCGTGTTAAGAGATCACTGCCTGGAAGGGAAGATACAACACAATAGGTTGGGTAAACCCAATGTCTGTCATGTAAAGGGTTTGGAATACCTCATAGAGAAAGCAAATGTTCCCCACCTCAGGTATGTATTGAGCACCTGGTGTATTCTGTGGTTAGTGAGCATACTCAGTCTGAGTGACCAGGATGAGGCCAGCATCCTGCCGATGTCCTAAGAACAGGAGATATTCTTATTTTGGTTCCTCCCCATGTGCTGAAGTTAAAAAAAAAAGGTGGGAAGGGGTTACCTCAGAGTATATTTATATATAGTGTGTAGTTACCAGGCATTCTAGAAAGTATGTTCCAAGAGCCCAGCAGAGTGCCGGTCACAGAGAAGTAATTCTGTGAATGTTTCTTGAATGAGTGACACCCCCACCCCCCACCAAGCACAGGGGAACCACAGGTCATCGTGTGCAAAACGTGCAAACGTGGCCTAGGGAAGGCCGCGCTTCAGGGTTTCTGGATGCCCCTCTTGGCACTGAACATGATAAGAAAGAGAATCCCTTCCTCACGCTAGCTAGCGCTGTTCCGGGTGGGTTTACCGGGTGTGACTAGTGTCTGTTCTCTGCAGGGTGAGATGTTAGATAACATAGAGTTGAATGTCATGCACACAGTGGACCATGTGGAGAAGGCACGAGATGAAACTAAAAAAGCTGTGAAATACCAGAGTCAGGCCCGGAAGGTGAGACTCTCCTATCTGTCGCCTTCAGAGAACAGAGTCTGTTTTGTTTGCTGTCTCTCGCTCTTTCTCTCTCCCCTCTCCCTGTCTGTGTTTCTGCTGCTGCTACCTCTGGCATCTGGGGAAAGGGAGCCATGATTGACCGTATAGAGAACAACATGGACCAGTCAGTGGGCTTCGTGGAGCGGGCCGTGGCAGATACCAAAAAGGCTGTCAAGTATCAGAGCGAAGCCCGCAGGGTGAGCGCCTCAGTCTCGGCTGGTCTTACTGAAGTCTCCTCTCCCTGGCCATCCCCACCTGCGTCTTTGAGCCCATGCCTTCCCTCCCCGCCCTGGCCTCTACCGAGCCCCTAGCTCAGCCTTTCCTAGAGACCAGCTGCCCGCCCTCCCTTCCCAGGTGTGCCTTGCATGGATCTGGCTCACATGCTTTCTCCCCAAGAACCCACGTTCTGTGGGATGGATGCACGGCCCAGGTGTTGCTGCTAATCTTCTCCTGGACATAGCTCATGAACTTTTCAGGTGTTACACTTGACTCTGTTCTTCAGAAACCTTCTTTTCATTGTCTTCTACTCCAGGAGCCTGAGCTCTGCCCCCTATTCTTTTTCTCTGCCTGTACCTAGTGCTGTGCTAACTGCTATTTAAACGTTATCTCCTGTCTTACGGAGCACCTGTTATTTCTACTTTATAGGTGGAACAGTCGAGGGTCAGAGGTTTAGTAATCGGCTTCAGGCCACCTAGTACATAGAGGAGCTGGGATTCAAAATCTGATCCCAGTCATGCTCTTTCCACCACGCCATTGTTTGTCCACCCTTCTGGTGTCCCTGTTGCTTGAGGACTTCTAAGCTTCTGGACTCATTGGCTGGGTATCTAGCTCTGGTGGCTTCTGCTTTTTAGACTTTTCTTCTTTGACTATTTCTCTTGGGCTCTGATATGTTTGTTCCTCAGTCTTTTTCTTCCAGCTTTACCTACTGCTTATGCAGGGATTTAGGGGGCTTGGGAAGTTATTTTACAGGATGAATCTGAATCATAGTTTCTGATACCCAGTCTATATGATGGGTCTGACATGTAGGAGTCTACTTTGGGGGACGGATGGATGGAGTTGGAAATTAGGACTATCTAAAAAATGTCTTTGCACTCCCTCTTAAGAAAGAAAAATCAGTCACTTTATATTTTGGCCGATTGCTGCTTGGAGACCCCGTGATAGTGGCTCTTATTATTATATCTGTCCACATGTGCAAAACTGCAGTGTGAGCTAAGAGCTGACAGCTGACAGAAGCTCCATATTTCCATTTGCTGGCATGGCTAGCCATCAAGTAATTTAAGAAATGTAAGACATCCTAAAAGAATGTCTTTATATAAAGATGTAGGCTTCTTATTTGGATCGACTAGATGTTTTCTCTGTAGAGGTGAGAGGGATTGGGTTTTGTCTGAGATGTTATTTTTTTTGGTCGTTTATAATAATGATCTGTTTTTGTTTGTCTTATTCCTCTCTCCAGAAATTGATAATTATCATTGTGGTAGTAGTTGTGTTGCTGGGCCTTTTAGCATTGATTATTGGACTTTCCGTGGGGCTGAAATAAGAGCGGCCTAAGAGCTGCTGCACTGACATGTAAGTAAACGAGTAAGCAGCTTTCTCTTGGGGACTCTGGATTGGCTCCTCAAGAGGAAGTCAGCTTGGGATTTCAAATTCTACTTCTTTCCCCTTATGATTATCCTTGGACACACTGAGCTTTCTAAAACTTTCAGTAGCCTGTGGATTCTTTCTCGGGTTCTGGCTGCAGCCCGCGGGTCAGGTCTCCTGTTTGTTCCCATCCTGTAGATCCTGTCCCTGCTCTGTCTTGTGTTTCGCCACCCTCCTGGCAGACCTGAGCACCCCATTTTGACTCCCCTTGCCGGGAAGCATGCTCCTAAGTTGGGTACAGTCTATGTCTTGCATCTGGGCTCTGTCTTCTGAATTCTTACTGGCTTTCCTAGATACTGGGCTTTGCTTTGGGCATCCTTTGAAATGTAAATGAAGCTCTGAATTGGAATTTGGGTCTGTAGGGTTTTGTTTGTGGCTGACTGGTTGGTTCTTGAATGATATAATAGCTAACATTTCTGAGTGTGGAGGTGAGCCAGACAGTGTACTGAACACCTTCCTTCTATCATTGAATCCTCACAACATCCTTATGAGATAGGTAGTAGTAGTATGCACATTTGACAGACAAAGACACTCAGTCTTAAAGAAACAGGGCCAAGTTCACACAGCTAATAATAGACCTGGGAGAGTTCTTTATTACATCTTAGCTTCTCTTAGTAAAACAAGATAGCCATTTATCATTGTCTACAAAATTTAGAGAACCTTAGAGGATAGTGACTTTAAAATTTAGACTATTAATTTTCTTTAAAATTTGTTGAAAAAGATAGAGCTGACCACTGAGTCAGGCCTAACGGCAGGTAGCATTTCAGGAATGATCTAGTTACTGGGAGTATTACGATTTTTGTGACTTTTAAGATTTTTTTCTGAATAAAAATAGCATATATTGTTTAAAAAATGTATAAAATATAGAAAAAATGAATTAATCAGTATTATTGCTGATAACCTTGTGGCATGTTCACACTCATAGTTTTACGTATGTTTTGTACACAGTTACAAAATCATAAGCATCATTCCACATCACTAAAATCTCTTTATAAATCTAATTCTCAACACAAGATTATGGATATACTCTGAAATATTTACGATTTCCTCAATGTTGGAGGTTTATGTTATTATTTGCTATAACTCTGGAACTAACCTTATTTAATATCTTTCTCATTTTTTATTTTCTGTTATAAATTCATGGGAGTTAGATGGCCGAGGTGCTAGGCAGAGACATCTTGAAGGCTTGATACAAACTATCACGTTGCTACCCACAGCTGCCCCATCTTTTTACTTTTGCTTCTGTGTATCTCTTCCTCCCTCCTGCTTCCATGTGACCAGAGCATCTGAAAGTCAGATTATTCTAGCAGTGAACATGCAACTTTATCGTGAGAGAGAAGCAACAAGAAGATGATCAATCTCTCATATGGAATTAATTGGTCTGTTCTTTTTTTTTTGGCATTTGGAATCTAGTCCTTGATTTTTTTTTTTTTTTGGTTAAGTTTGAGTTTTGTTCTGCCTTTTAACCCTCTCATTGAGAAAGATGTTAACATTTAAAAAGAGGCATAATAGTTATTATCTTTTCGTATCCTTGGAGGAAACATGTCTTGCAAATTCATAGTGCCCTTTACCAATCCTAATTCCAGGAATTCAGAATGTAAATGAATCCTTTTTGAGGAGGTAACTCCTCAAAGGTGAGAAGACTGATTAATATATTGTTTATAGTGGACTAACCCGATCTTTAAGATGCTAAGTTGCTAAGCAGTTGTTAAGGTGCTTATCGTAGTTTACTCCATATTCCCGAATAAAGTCAAGATGATGTTACCTAGGTCTGGACTCCCCTCTCCCTCCATGTCACCTGAGGGAGAGAGGTCTCTGAACAGGAGGGAGGGAAAACCCAGGTTTACATTCTCTAGTTTTGTGCAAGCTACTTGCTCTAGGCTAATATCCCATTTTACAGGTGGGGGAAGCTCTTTGAAGCTCAGTGAAGTTAAGAAGCTTGCCCAAGCCTACACAGCTTGTAAGGTGGATCAGCTGTAATATGACCCCTAAACTTTTCCATATTCTTTTTTTTAAATAAATTAATTAAAAAAAAAAATTTCAGAATATTATGGGGGCACATTTTGGTTACATATATTGCTTTTGCATCGCCCAAGCCACAGCTACAAGCATGCCCATCCCCCAGACAGTGCGCTCCGCACCCATGAATTCTGAATTTACCCATCCCCTCCAGCCCCTCCCACCTGCCCCGCACCCGATGAATATTACTTCTATGTGAGCACTAAGTGTTGCTCAGTTAGTCCTCCTGGCTCACTGCTCCCAGAGGAGGATCTGAAGAACACGATGGCCTTCTGTATTCTTTTCGTTGTGCCCTTCTGCCTTCTAGGAAAGAGGCGGGGATTCAAGGACCATGAAGCTCCTGTATGCAAGAGAGGTGCTGCCATGGGCCCTGCAGTGAACGGGTTTTCACCAGGTCCACCGACAAGCCCTTCTGTGGCTGTGGACAGCCCGTGTGAAGGCTTATAAAAGGCCTAGAGATTTTTTTTTTGTCCCCCTCTCACAGTAGGGCTTTTGTTCTTCCAGTAGGACGTTTAATTCCAGGTCCTGTCTGTTGGATTTTTCAGGTTTATTGTTGCCTTTTCCATTGTTCTCCCTTTTGCAGCTATTTCTGATCTTTGCTCTCCACCTTCTGGGTTTGTGGCTGATCCTCCTGTTGCCCTGCACTGATCAGCTGCTCCATTCCCTGCCTCTCCTAGAACCTGATTTCACTCCAGCCTGGCGTGGCCACCCTTGTCTTCAGATGGGAATGGAGTTTGAATGGCATTCCTGAGAGCGAGTTGGACCCGTTCCTTTGTTTCCTTGTAACCATCCTTGGACCTGATTCAGCAAACAATCTAGCCCTGGAGGAACCTAACCTACCTAGTGCAACCTTGAGTTCTCCTCAGAACCGTCTCCTGTTTCACCGACTCTGAAGTTCCTCCTTCCTGGACTGTGTGAACAAACCCAGCTTCTCTCTCCTCCCTGTGCTGTGTCAAATTGTGCCTTGCACCTTGGAAAGCCCATCTGAGACCCTCTCAAGGTGCTATGTTTTCTACCTCAGAGTTTTCTTTCTCCCAGAAATTGCAATGTATTTTTTTACGGGAGTGCCTTTTACCAAGCAGAGGGATTCTTCTAAATTTGGCAACAATAAGGCTTGGAGCTGAGTCTTCTATCTGGCAGGATGCCAATCCTCAGCTTGTTGTCCCTGTGTCCTAAAAACATGAGGGGCTGGCAGATGTCATTTTGGTCTGAAAAGCTGACTTGTTTGACATTCAACCTTAAATTAAGCTCTTAATATGTTCAGCTTGAGGGCCAACTGATTTTTCTCTGTGTTGTATTCTCTCTTGTTTACTCAAGGAGGGGCCAGGATGATACAGTCATCTGAAGTTACCATTTGCAAAGACTACATGTATGGACTATTTGTTTCCATGCCTGAGTCTTGGAAACTGGCTATTCACTGCTAGAGAGTGATACTTTGTGAAGCCAGTGCCTCAAGGCCAAACATTACCTGGGATTTTAAATTGGGTCAGGGACAAGGTGCTGGAGTCTCAGGCTCTGGAAATGTTTCATGGGACTGGTGTGAGTATTCAGTCACTCATGTGTTCCAGATGTATTTTTATAATCATGTGTGAGATGTATATACATATATGCATGTCTCTTCTCTCAGGAAGCAGGAAATAAAAGTGGAAGACATTATGATCTCAAAAAAAAAAATGACTCAGCTAGGCTAAAAATTAGGTAAGGGACATTTGCTTACCTGCAAATGAATCATTGTAAAAATGTGATCTTCCCATTTATCAAGAAACTTGTTTTCTGGATGAGTACTGGGAGAATCACACGAGCTCTCTGGAGGACTAAATTGATTCCCATTAAGTTTTGGCAGAGAGAAGGTATAATGTTTTGACACCTCGCCCCACCTGTTGCCTCCACTAGGCTCGTTCTGGCAACATCCCACAGCAACTTGATACTATTTATGTGACCTATGGGATGTCCTGTCTTCAGGACAGAGCCAGTTGGGGAACACCAGAGACTACAGAATCTCTCTTCCTGCTGCTGGGTTAATGAGCTTGGCAGGTTCTTTGTCTCCCTCGATTCTTACCGTGGAGGCAGCAACGGCCAGGAAATATTCCAGTGACTGTGACTGTGCTAACCCAGTGCAAGCCCCTGAGATTCCCTGCTGGTCTCGGCCAGTCTCCCTGATTGCCCACCAGGTATAGTTCAGCTTTGACTTTAATGCTTTCTAGGATAGGGCGAGCACCCTAATCCAGACACTGCCCATTAGCTTCCTTTGCACAGGCTGCTCACTGGCAGTCGTTGTCCGGCACTCAGACAGAGCCCAGGGAACGGCCTCTTGCCCGTGGCTATGATGTCGGTCGGTCAGTGGACTGGCTCCAGCAATAGCGGGGACAAACTAATCACAGGCCTTTGCTCCCCTCTGAGATTGAGGCCCGGCGCTTCTAGTTTGGAATATAACGTGAAGATTTTGTTGTTGTTTGTATTTTTTAAAAAATGTAAACTTGATTATTTTATTGCTAATTTAAAAATAAATGACTTTATATTGATTGTGAAACAGTTCTGGCTCTACCTCCATGCAAAACACTTAGTGATTTGGTGCCACCATGTGGTCATTTTTGTTCAGGTGTCAGAATGGGGTTAAAATCTTTTTAAACCACGTGCTGAACCAGAGAGGTGGTTCAAAAGTTCAAATATTTGAAAATGGTTTAACTGCCAAAGAATCAAGTGTAACTATTTGAGTTGCAGATTTGAGGTGCTCCCCCCAGAAGAATCTGGTTCACTGGCCGCGAGTATCTGGCTCTAGGGTGAAAGGAGGAAGGTCCGTTGTGACATTATCTAGACAGCAGAATGGCACGCTCAGCATTCTCTGAGATTCCCGTCCCTCTGATTTCTGAATCTCTCCCCTGGAAATAACAATTCTGTGAACATTCTGAGTTCTAGAAGCCAGATCCATCTCCCTTTTCCTCCTGGTGCTCCCCTTTTCCTTCATACCCTCTTCCACGCCCACATGCACCGTCTCCCTTCCTGTGGAACTGGGCTCCGTCATGTTTCTCACGTGTTCTTTCTTTCCTTGTCTGGATGAGCAGAAGAAGATCATGATCATGATCTGCTGTATTATCCTTGCGATCATCTTAGCTTCTACCATTGGGGGCATATTTGCCTGAAAAAGGTGAGCCATCTGTGGGGAGGGTCAGGCCTGCTTTCACGTACTTGAACCTCTTGTGTCCTGTGGGCATTGTTTGGTGCCCTACTCTGGGTGGGATTAGGTGCTGAAATAAAAGTTAGAGAAAACCAAGGAAAAGGATGTTTTAGAGAAAGAAAAATGAGTTGGTAGCAGGTTGTTGGGCGCAGGAATGGGGGAGAAAAGCGGCGGCAATCTGTCCTGTAACCTGGTCTGGTAGCAGAATGCTTTGTACGGGTCAAGGATGTTGATTCCTGGTAAACAATTTGAGCCTTGGTATCTGGGAATGGCAAAAGGAGCAAGAATTAATTCTTGCGTTAGATGCACCCTGAACTTTTTGGAAGAGGGCCACATGGCAAATCTGCATTAAATTTCTTCCCCTTCCAAGATTACAAATTAACACAGTCTCGTGTGTAGACCCTTACCCCTGCACAGAGTGATGGCCACCAACACCATGCTATATAATCTATGACTTTTTTCCCCTCCATTCTTCTGTTATCTCTTTAGCTCTCACAGATGGATCCGCGACTGGCGTTTCTAATCCTCCTTCCACCTCCGTGGTGCCATCACTTCTCCACGCAGACTCCTCATCAGCTACTCCTCTTTCCATTAGGAAACTTCTTATGACACAGGGAACCAATCAACTGCTTACTACAAGTTATGTAAAGGAAGAACTTATGAAAATTCAGAATTGGGTGGGGGCAGGGGTAGGGAGTACAGTGATACATAGCTGGTTAGAGGGATGGTTTAAAGGAGGGAGCTGCAGGGTAGAGAAGACAGCATAATGGGCACCTATTTAGGAAGTGAAATTTAGAGCCTGCGCCTGCAGTACGGCTGTGATGAGGCAGATATTGTAGCACATCCAATTCAACAGGCTCTTATTTGAACTGCTGTGAGCTGGTCAAGAATGTCAGGGCATTTGTCACTTCTGCTCTTCTAGGTCTCACCTTTGACCACTCCACATTTCCTTCCTCCTTCAGGGTCCAGTAATAGTCTTAAAAGTGAAGGTTATCTAAGGATCGGCACACGCCTGTCTTGCTGCCTGCTGTGTCCCCACTGTTTAGCACAGTGCCTGCCACTTCCAAGTGCTCAAATATCTGTTGACTTAATTACTTATAATGAGGCTCTGATTTCACTCATGGACTAGTCCTTGGGTTTGACCCCTAAACTCTTCAAGGCATCAATGGGAACAAGATTTGTACTATGAGAGGCTGTGTAAAGCTGCTTGGGAATGGGCTGATGCACTTCTGCAAAAATGCTACAGCAGGCCCCCGTGACCACGATGTACACTTTAAAGGGCTTTTTCTAGGGGTGGTTCTGTCTTACCAACAGCCTCTCTTGTGGAGATGGCTGCTCCCAGGATTGTGGTTCAATTATGTACATACAGACCCCAAAAGAAAGAGATTTATGCTGTAATTGAACTCCTAAGTCAGTAGAACACTGTGAACCCTAACAAAGAACTGATGAAGATATTAGGTGAGAAAGGTGGAGTGAGGCTATCGCTTACTTCGCTGCTCCCAATTCGTGTTGCTGACAGTTGGGCAGCAAAGTATGTGCGAGAAACTGTTCTAACCACTGTCCCCAGATCAAGGTTCAGTTGTGTTCAGCTTTAAACTAGCTATGTGGATGAGTTCTAATGCAAGTAATTTATTAATAACAAGAAGTTCACTAAAAATACATTAAAAATCATAGTATACAACTTTTGAGGACCACAAAGTACACTTAAGTTTGTACTTCTGAAAGTAAACCAAGTTCTTATTTCTTTGCTGGATACCTTATTCTTTTAAGAAAGTGGGATAAAAAATGACATTTTGGTCAGTGTGCTGTTTTCTACCCACTTTCAAAATCAGATGGTTTAATAGTCTATCAATTTGTGTTTCCTTTAGTTTGAACAGGGGATGGGAGACGATGGCTCTGAAAAAGATGAATCTCATTAAAGGCAATCAGGGAGCTGAAGCCATGGGGATTTGAGTCAGAGTCCTCGTTCATGGCGGCAGGGATCTGCGTGCTGCGTGGCACATGGCACTGTACTAGATTCTGCAGGGACACAAAGGTAGAGACCACACTCTCCCTCTTCAGAGAATTTCAGACCTAGAAAGGGCCACCAAGTGTTAACTTTTATCAGTTCCTTCTGCTAAAAGGCAAAGGTACGTTCCTTGCCACACTGTCCAACACGCCCCCTTCCAGGGTGGAGAGAAGATGGTTGCTGGGCATCAATAAATACCTGTTGAATCAATGAACCTATGTACTCATGTCATTTTTTTCTTTGTTCTAAAAATGTGTTTGTAACCAGTAAAATGTCATAGAAACTGGCTCCCGAAGGGTGTACACATAAGAGGCATTATGGACGTTAAGTCAGACTCGCGCCATAGGTGGGGAAGGCACACCTTTGCTTCAGTCCTGAAGATGTCCATCTGGCAGCCCAGGAGAACCATGAGCTCTTAACAGTCATCCAGGCCTATTTCATCTTTTAAGGGATTAAGAATAACCGGTGAGAAGTTACATCCTGAGGTGATGCCCAAATTTTATTTAATGTACTGTTTTTTTCCTACTCATATGCTGCTCCTTAGTTATGACATAAGAACTACCCAAAGACTTTGAGGGTAGGCTGAGGGGAATAAAAATGCAGATTCTTGCAATAGCCTACGTACATTTTATTTTTTACACCCACTACACACGTTCAGGGATGTAGAACTTGCCCCAGTACCGCCCCTTCTGGGTCAAGTCATACGGGCTCAGTACTTTCCGTATCCCCAGCATGTTGGCAGTGGCTATGCGCTCAAAGGTCCAGGGGTTTTGGTTGTTACGTTCTCGTTCCTCTTGATCTTTCCGCATCTTCTCTAGCGTCTCTCGGCTCACGGCCTTTGCTGGGAAGGGCAACTTGTGGGCAACCTGCTTAAGGAAACCTTGTACCTCTTTGAATTCACAACGGCCACCCACCTCTACTATAAGGCGGCCAGCCTTCACGGGTGTCACGTAGTGATCAATGGCACCTTTGCCTCCCCCCATGCGCTGCCCGACACTCTTGCGGGTGATGGGCTTGAAAGGGGCTGGCACTCGCCATATGGCAAACATGTTCTTGGGATCCAGAGAGCGGTTGATTGTCAGTCGCATCATTTCAAAATGGCCCCAGTGGAGGTAACCACCACCCAGTGCCTAAAAGTGAATGGAGAATTAGAAACACGTGGGGACTTAGATATCCTTTATGGGCTCTATTATTATATCTCTTCTTTTATAGTAACTGTGGCTTCACTGATACAATTGAAAGTAAAAATATAAGTTCTAGTAAGTACCATGGAGGAAGAGACTAGGGTACAGTAATAAAGGGGAGCGAGGGTGGACTCACTGCAATGGAGAGCCAGGGAAGGCCTCTTTGAGGTGACATTTAAAGCTGAGGCCAGAATAAGAACTAGCCAAGGGAAAAGAGGTGTGTTTGAGACAGAGGAATGGCTTATGTAGAGGCCCTGACATAGCAGAGGTTGAGTAGAGGTTGAGTTGAGTAGAAGCCAGTGTGGCTAGGGTAGAGTGAGGAAGGGGAGAGTGGGCATGAGGTTCTGTGAGGTCAGCAGGGGCTGATCATGCAGGCTGTGGGAGGAGTAGTTTAGAACATCACTCTGGCTGCCTGGTGGGAAATAAATCATAGTACACACCCACATATGTAGCTACTGACAGTGAGTCTCCACGGAAGCTACTCAACAAGTAAGCAAACCGCTGGCCCACCTCCTCAGTCATGGATAGTTTTACTTTTACCAGAGGCTTGAAAAGATCTTAGGGTTTGATTATGGGGCAAATTAGGTAGCCTCTTCCTTCTCCTGCTTTTACATTATTTTTACTCTACTTAAAAAAAAAGATATATAACTCAAAATATTTACTGGGTACCCAGTATCCTCTCTGCACATCAGAGAGTTTTTTTGTTTATTATTTTTTGAGACAGGGCTAAAGTGCAGTGGCATCATCATAGCTCACTGCAACCTCAAACTCCGGGGCTCAACTGATCCTCCTGCCTCAGCCTCCTAAGTAGCTGGGACTACAGGCATGCAACACCATGCCCGGCTAATTTTTCTATCTTTTGTAGAGATGGGGTGTTGCTATGTTGCTTGGGCTGGTCTTGAACTCTTGACCTCAAGCGATACTCCCACCTTGGGCCCCCAAAGTGCTAGGATTGTAGGTGTGAGCTACCATGCCTGGTGCACATCAGTTTAAAGAGCAATTGGTGGCAGTTCTAATAAAAATTGTATAGGAAGGCACTAGAATTAATTCAGAGTATGAGATTTGTTAACCCTGGCCTGTAGCTGCTTGATGGTAAACTCACCAAGATTGCAAAATTGCCTTCTGTGAACTCAGTAGCTTCAGTGGAAGGTCCCCGTATGTCA